TAAAGTTTTTTGTTGATTCAATAAATTTTAAAAAAAGCGACTTTTTTTTGTCTGCTTATTTTTTTATTCGTTAAACATATAGTTGTTGAATTATAACTGTAATTAGCACTTTCAATCGTTACTATATTTTTCAAATATTCAAAAACATTTTTAGGTGGCGAAATGAGTCACAAATACTAAAAAAGTTGTGGCCATTAAATGAGAATAAATTTTTACTCGGTAAAACATTTGAAGCTAAACGAGGAGTATTTATTTTGGTAAAAGCAAAAGACGGTGGTGATGTACTTCGTCCTCATATACTTGACGAAGCTGAATTACTAAATCAGTGGGTTCTCAACAATATCACCATAGAAACTTCAAATCATAAATTTTTGTTAAATTATCAGGTGAGTCTTTTTTATCGGAAAAAAAGAAACCTTTTCTAAACTTTGAACAATAAACTGTTTAATCGGCTCATTTGATACAGACTAATTTTCTAGGATTTATGCTTGAGCTACAATTGGGTATGTGGCGGTAATGAACATTTGCTGATGTTAAAAGAACGAAGACGTGTTGGCGAATATATTGATTTAAAATTTCCAAGAGGAGGCACTACGGTAGGAATTAAAATAAAACAAAAGCACCTCTGCATTTTTAAGCTTTTTTAGCCTAGACGACAGTACATCTGAAGTTAACAAATTCTGCCACTGATTATTGTTAATATCTGATAACAACGGTAAACGACTGAAAACAGTTTTTTCTAGGACACACCGGTGTATCTCGGTACAGCGTTGGGTGGTGTAACATTGAACAGCTCAGATAACACTGTTTTAGCAGCAAAAATGGTTCAATTGACATACTTTCTAAAGCAAGAAACGGATATTGTCAATTACTATTCGTCACAATTCGAATATGCTGTTGAACGATTTTTGTTGCACAAATATGAGAGCGATATTATTGACTTTTCTTTTGCTCATCAAAACTCATTGAAGGTTTAATCTTTGCAAAATAATTTGATTTTTTTTCTTAACAAAGTACCAGTTTAGACTGCTGGCACTTTTACAGTTGGTTTACACACTGACTTTTTTTTTTGACACTTTATAACCCCTTTGTCACTGACATCGATTTGTGATTTTTCGGATTAACCGATGTTACATCTTTGGGGCAAAACACTCAAATAAGCACCATTGATATGGTGTCACTTTTTTCCTTTTTTTTTGATGTTATTGGTGCAGAAAGCAGAAGAAAACCACTTTCAGTCAGAAAAGTTTTTGAGTAGAACAAATTTGAAAAAAAATTTTGAAGTTTTCTTCTGTCATTTAATTAAACATCAAAAATTAAGAATTAAAAAGCAGAAAATCAAGCCTTTTTCTGAATGTCCCTCTAGAACTCACTGCTATTCCTCGCAAAGTTTATTTAACAAAAAAAAAAAAGAAGAAAAAAATAGTTATTAATGTATTGAATTTAATTGTTACTTTTAGGATGGTCTACAAGAAAATGCAAATCATTTTGCACCAAATTTTGTGTTTAGTTTTGGTGTATTATCCGTTTATGCAATCGTATTTTCATTCACGTTTCGTGGAAAGTGGCAAATAGATCCATTGCGAAGTAAACCATATGTAGCTTGTGCAGGTATGTAAACTATATCAAAGTTACAAATACTACTTAAAATGTAACTAGTATTTACTGTGTTTAAAACTTAAAAATATATCTTCTAATTTTGGGTCTTTTAACGACGCTTCTTGCACTGATTAGTGGTTTCGGTACCCTGCTGCTTTTGAATGTTCCGTACAACGTCATTAATACGATCATACCTTTTCTGCTTATTGGTTAGTCTATCAATTTTATCAACTAAAAATAAATGTTTTCGCCTATTGCGAATTTATTTCCAATAAAAAGCCTATGTTTTAGCTATTGGTATTGACGACATGTTTATCATGAACGCTTGCTGGGATCAAACAGATCAACATTTACCGCCAGCAAAGAGGTAAACTGTTAATTAATCATTTACAGCAGTCATTAATATTGTTTCTGAATTCATCTTAGAACAGGACTTGTTAGAAGCGGTGAAAAGTGTTTAGTGTAACATTTTAATACTATTGGTGATTCTCTTTTGGGATATACTCAAATAAATATAATATGTTTGGAATATTCTTTTTGAGTCTAGGATGTCCGAGATGTTAGCACACGCCGGTGTCGCTGTTTCGATTACTAATATAACAGACATACTATCGTTTGCTATCGGATGTATCACTGAACTGCCCGGTATAGAATTATTCTGTACATACGCATGTTTGTCTATCGCTTACTGCTATGTTTATCAGGTTGGCTATCTGTTGTTCTCACTGCTTTATTACCTGTGATAAGCTTCATTAAAACACAATTGATCTGGGTGTAGTCAAATGAGATAAAAAAGTTGCAGCAGAAAAATACGACAGAAAATTGGTTTTTCTGAAACATTTTAAAATCACATGACTAAAACTAGTTGATTGGAATAAAAAATTAAAAGTTAAAGATTTTCTTCATCTTTTAACATAATTTTTTTCAGCTAACGTTCTTTGCTGGTTTTCAAGCAATAATGGGTGAAGTGGAATCTGAAGGTCGACACTGCCTACATTTCCGCAAAACTGTTAAATCGAACACAGAGAAGAAGAAAGCTGAATATTATAGACCAGAAAAGTTGAAAGCTTCAGAACACAAATATATTAAAATACTAAAGCAGTGTTGTTGCGGACTGAAAGACAAGTGTGTTGAAAATTCTGAATTCACACGCTATTTTATTTCGTTTTAAGCCAAATATGTTAAATTCAGCTTTTTTTTTCTCGATTTTTAGTGACGAAACATCGAAGGATAAAACGGAAAAAATTGAGCCCACAATTTACAAGAAAGCAAGCTTTCCAAATTCATCTCAGCTAACAAATATTCATACAATAGTGATCAGCGAACAACTGCCTTCCATTGAAGCAACCAGCTTTAGTGGTTCACTAAACAAAGTTGCGCCACAGCTAAATGAGAAATGTATGCATAATTTTTTTTTCTGCTTTTGTAATATAGTAGACAACTCTATTATTCGTCGATCTCTTATATCAAAATCACACTTATCTTTATCTATCTATTTATTTGAAGTTGAAACAGTGAGAATAATCACAGAAGCAACAAACATTAATGAACGAAAACAAAAATAAGCATTAAGAATGGCTGCTAAAACATAAAGTTAACAATGCTTTGCTGCACTATCATTCAAAATATTTTTTTAAAAAATGCTTCACTTTCAACTTAATTTATATGAACTGGTCCTTCACAACTAAACTTTTGTTGTTTTAGCTTCAGGAGGAAAGTTGTCTACAGAAAAAGACTACAGCAAACACCGTTCTTCATTTCGACATTTCTTCGGCCATATCTATGGACCCTTCTTACTGAAAACTGAAATGCGTGCTTTAGTCTGTTTATCGTATATACTGTTCATTGTGTTTGCTATTGCAGGATGCCTTAATTTTAGAGTAAGAAATTTCATTTTTCAATTTTTTTGTTAATTTGCTCAAACTGAAATTTTTAAACTGTTTTACCAGAGATGGCTGATGCTAAACCAAGACAAGCATTGTGAAAAAGCTTATTTATTTGGTGGCTACTATGCTGCAAACAAAGTGTGGTTATAAGGTTGCTTTTTACAGGAGGGATTGAATCCAGAAAACCTCGTAACCAACAGCCATTATATTGCTGCATATTTTCGAGACATGAAACAATTTTGGATCCAAGGTCCTCAAGTGCATGTCACTGTGCTAAAGCCACCGAATTTTACCGACCCAGTGCAAAGGTAGAGTTTTTTACGTTTAAAAATTGAATCTGTTCTTGATGCTGTAAACGGCCATATTGTTTCATCAAAAAGTGCTGTAATCATGTTAAATGCCATTACTATAAATTTTTTTTTTAGAGAGAAAATGATGGGTGTGGTAAAAGCATTTGAAAACACACCACATACGCTTGGTCGGGAAGGAACCGTTTTCTTCCTCCTAGAGTATCTTAATTATTTGAACCAAGTCAATGCAGAACTGGAAAATACTGAGAGGTGGCTTTTTTCATCGTGTTGCGATATTATTAGCTTGCTTGAAACTTTTTAGTAGTCATTTTTTATTGAGCTGTAAATAGTGATTTATACCAGTATTTGTAATGGAATTGCTTCGCTCAGTACAAATCTGAAGTTTCAATAAAATTTCAGACTGTGGAACACAAAGTTGCGCAGTTGGTTAAAATACACCGGTGGAAGCACACAGTGGGCAAGTGACATCAAGTTTGATGAAAAAGACAACTCCATCAAAGCATTCCGATTTCAAGTATGTCAATCAAATTTTTCTGACCACCCATTTTATTGCTTCAAACTACAAAATAAGTCTATGGTGACTTAAGGTTGCCGCAAAAAATGTTGTTACTCCAAATGACCATAAGGAAATGGCGATACTCTTGCGCGGTATTGCTGATAGACAACCATTTGACGTTCAAGTTTTCCACGAAACCTTCCCATTTGCTGATCAATATATTATAATTGTCCCAGCTACTGTGCGAAACATTCTGATTTCGCTTGTCTGTATGAGCATTGTTGCTTTATTGCTAGTGCCAAGTTTTCTTTCTTGTAAGTCATTTTGGTTAATACTTCTTACGTAATAATTTAGCAAATAAGACATATAGTTGCAGCAGCAATTAACAATTTGCTTATACTGATAATTTTTACAAAATTGAATACATTTAGCAGTCCTGTGACAGTTGGAGTTTTTAGGCATACTAATCATACTGTCAATTATCTCTATATGTCTTGGTATGTTTGGTTACATGACATTTTGGGGAGTAAACTTGGATGCCATTTCAATGATCTCGATAATTATGAGTATTGGTTTTGCCGTCGATCTGTCGGCACATATAGCCTACGCATTTGTCACAGCAAGCGGAACCTCAAAAGAACGTGTAGCCACAGGCCTTGGGACACTTGGCTGGCCAATATTTCAAGTAATCTATCTACCATTTATTGCTACTGACTAGATAAATGATATAATTGATTTTAGTAAGAAAAAAAGAATTGTTGTTTGCAAACTCCAAATCTTGACCTTTGCAGGGTGCAACATCAACAATTGCTGGCATATCAATCTTATACACCGTTGATGCATATATTATTCTAACTTTCTTCAAAACGATCTGGTTAACAATGGTTATTGGTATGATGCACGGTTTGGTGTTCATTCCAGTCGCGCTTAGCTTTATACCAATTTCATTCTTCAACATCGCAAAGAATGTCGAACTTTCGCATTAAATGGAATGCATTCTTATAGATGAAATTTCACTTACCTCAGTGGGATCTCATTGACCGTCATTTGCGGTACATTCCAAATGCGCAATGCTTATCGAATCTAATACTTAGAGGTGAGGTTAAGCGAAAGAAATTGCCTGGCATATTTTTATTTCCAAAAAGAGAAGGGTCAAAACAGAATAACGCAGATTAAATTATTTTTGTGTTATTTGTTTTTAGCTCTTTTGCGCATTTTGAGGCGAATTCCAAAGTTGAATGCAAAACTTTTTTGACATTGGCAGACCGGCTTTTTACCATTAGCGTTACCGGTTTCACTCTCTAAAACTGTATCTTTTTAATGGTTAAGTGACCCTGGAAAGTACACTGCCTTGGTGTCTGCGGAAATAGCAATTTGTCTGTTGTAAAGTTTGTTTCAACTGCTGTATTTGCAGCCTGTATTTATGTATTTATATATCCACTTATTTTCTTATTCAACGATCAAATTAGTAAGAAAAATTAATTCAGTAAAAACGTCATGACTTTACTGATATTAAATTTCTTTCTAAAACCTTATCTCTTTTGTTGTCTGGCTTTTGAGAATGTGAAGATTTTTTTCTCCCTTATTTTTCTTATTTTTTGTTTACTCATTTTTTTCTTCCTTCAAAGAGCATGCAGATAAAGGCCACGAACATTTTGAACGTTTGGGTAAATAATCAGCTCTTTTGTTTGGTAAAAACGGGTCAGTGGCAATCTGCAGATATTTATCATAAACTATGCTAACCTCGTATTTTCCGTTTTGTTCCTCGTTTTAAATGATAGCTTTTACAATTAGTTCCCAAAACTGATTTTTTGGTCTCTTTTTTTTATAGCAATATTTTCTTTAAAATTATTCAAGTCTATAGGTGAACTGTATATCTTTCTTTAACCCCTCTATTCTCAGCTGCTCCAGTGGTAACTTTAGAAAATATCCGTTCAAAAACATTAATATTTGTTTAACAAAATTATTCGGTGAGATAGACGTGCGCATTTGATGCGTAATTTCTGTAGAAACTCAAAGAAAGACACGAAAGTCATCTCAAATGTTTGTATATAGTCTTTATTGAGTTTATTCAGTTTTATCTCTCATAGTAGTTGTGACTTGTTGTTGTAGTAGCTTTAATATATTTTACACATAGGCAATTATTTAATAAAAAATTGTCCTCCTACTAATTGACCAACTGTAACACTAGATAATTGGGTACTGATATTTCCCCTTTTCCAAGAGAAAAAAAAAAGGAAATGTTTGAAAGGGTAACTGGCGATAGTAACTGCAGTAAAACAACAAAAAAATATTTTGTGTTGTGAAAATGTGCTTTGGATTATTGAAACATTCTAGATATGTCTTTAAAAATTCAGAAGATTATATTTTAGCAAGCCAATAGCTCAAGTTTTGTGTCCTCACAGACTAAGAAAAATAAAACGACTACTTCAAAAAGATATAAATACCTCTTTATTATGGGAAAATATACACATAGCATTAAATGATTGTTAATGACCTGACAACATGCAATTTTTTTTTT